TAATATAAAACTAGTGTTTAAAATGAGCCCAACTGAAATTAGAGCTCTGTTATGTGAGATGCTATATAAATATATATATATATAAAGAGAAAGAAACAGTTTCTGTCCCTATGACCTTTCAGTCTAAATCAGTGATTCTCAACTAGGGTGCCTTGGGAAACCCAGAGATTTCAAAGAGGAATCCATAGTGTCAAAAACATGCTGACCTGTTGTGGTCTTTCGGAGGTCTTTGCAACAGGAGAAGTGCTCTATTTATTTTTTCTGTACTCAAAAAACAAATAAAACTAAGAGCTGACATTTTCCAAGGGGTGCCCAAAGTCCTTCTTGGGATGCCTTGAGTCTAAAAAGCTCTAAATAGATTAAACACACCATTAGAGTCATAGATTTCATAGACTTATAGACATTAGAGACATCATGAGATCATCGGGTCCACCCTGCCCACCATAAGCGAGAAGTTAGCTGGGATCAAGTGACCCCAGCAAGAAATAAATCCAGCTGTTTTTTAAAGGAGACCAGAGTGCTTTTACCACATCTGGGGGGAGTTTGTTCCAGACCCTGGGCGCACATACTGTAAAGAACTTTTTTCTTATATCCAGACTAAATTGGCCTTCCTGGAGTTTATGGCCTTAGATCTTGTTATCCCTTGGGGAGCTCTGGTGAACAAATGTTCTCCCAGGTCCTGATGTACCCCTCTTACGAAATTGTAGGCTGCCACCAAGTTCCCCCTGAGCCTTCTCTTCTCCAGACTGAAGAGTCCCAAGCCCCCCAGCCTCTCCTCATATGGCCTTCTCTCCAGGCCTTGGATCATATGGGTGATTCTCCTCTGGACTCTCTCAAGCTTCTCCACATCCTTCCTGAAGTGGAGAGCCTGATACTGGACACAGTACTCCAGCTGTGGATTCACCAGGGCTGAGTAAAGCAGGAGGATGACTTCCCTGGTTTTGCTTGAGATACATCAGTGGATGCACGTCAGAGTTTGGTTAGCTTTGCCCGCCACTTCATCACATTGGTGGCTCATTCATCTTGTGATCAACCCCCAAGTCCCTTTCAGTCGTGATCCTAGTGAGCGTAGCACTGCCGAGTCTGAGTATGCTGAGGGTTCTTCCTACCGAGCTGCAGCACCTTGCACTTCTCTGTATTGAAGGTCATCTGGTTTTGGTCGGCCCACCTTGAGAGTGTGTCCAAGTCAGCCTGTATTCCCAGCCTGTCCCAGGTGTGATGGCCCTCCCACATAATTGGGTATCATCTGCAAATTTGGACAGTTCACATCTGACTTCCAAACCTAGATCGTTGATTGAAATGTTAAAGAGTTCTGGCCCAAGTACCAAGCCCTGAGGGACTCCACTGGTCACCCTGCATCATGTTGATTTGCTCCCTTCAACTAGTACTCTTTGGGTCTGCCCCCATAGCTAGGTGCCTAGCCATCAGACCTCATGATGATCCTTGACTGGAGAAGTGATGACAATGATAAATACTTGTTACCATTTTACGAATGATAAATAAGGTACAAAGGGATTAAATGCTAGAGCTAAAGAAGACTTAAATCAGAATTCTTCATTAGGCAACTATACATGGGCTAAGTACAGACAGCCAAAAAGCCTGAGGCTGAATCAATTCAGTCTTCACAGGTTAGTCTAAGCTGCGTAGAGTGAACCAATAAGCAAGTGAACAGACATTCACTTTTGATTCCGGAAATGCAGCCACCTGCCTGCAGTGGCTTAGGCCAGAAGCCAGGGGCAACTAGAGCATGCCTCCCTGCTTGGCTGCAGTGACAGCTGGGGCCAAAGCTAGCCCACCCACCCTGTGAAGGTGGTGTTGTGGGGCAGGTGCAAAGCATCCTGGGAAGCAGGGGGACTGTGAGTTAACTTGAATCTGGAGGGGATATGGGATAGAAGTTCAATAAATCAATTTAACCTAAATCAGTGATGTCTGATACTGCATCCATCCAGGTTTATCTTAAATTGGTTTTGGCCATTTTGAAAGCAGTTAATGTGAGTTGAACTTCTGTTGTGTTGCAGATTTGAAATGGTTTCTGATCACTATACCCGTTTATGTGTCATTTCTGTCCCTAGCCATAGGCATTGTATGTCTTAAATATAAGGACCTTGCCCCAGAGGGTAATTTAGTTGGACCAGGTAATGTGCTTAGGAGCCCTATACCATACGTGCAAAGACTGTGGAGTGTCAAGAAGTAATGCAAGTTTAGGCAATTAAGCATGCTGCAGAGAGATTGGAGAGCTAGAGGCACCTGTAAAAGGTGACTAAGGGTGCAGACAGAACTGCAGCTCCCAGCTATAACTCAGAACAATTTTTGCAAAGTGTTCTGAGTTAGTTACCCCAGACCAAACAGAAGTTCACTGTTGGTTCTGGAGGTTTGGTGGGGGGGGAATCTAGCTGCAGGCTGGGAGCCTACAACCAGGTTCCCAAAGCAATGGTCAGTCTCTGCTATTGCTCGCTGTTTTCAGAATGGGAGAGGGGAAAGGCAGTGGAGGGCACTCATTCTTGGGGTTCCCCAGCTGGTGCTGAAGGGTGGGGTAGATGATTTGGAACCCCCCCCCCATTTGGGGAGGGGGATCCAACATGCCCACCCCACCCTCCAGGGGGGAGCTGAAAACTCCCAGACTGAACTCCATCTGCTCCCTTTCCTCCCCTCCCATTTTTAAAACATCGACTATCTTGGAGGTTCTTAGACACTAGATGCAAAAGATACTACATTTTGAAATGTCTTTATCTGATACCTCATGTAATGAAAGGTCAGATTTTTACCCGATCAGCCATTTCTGAAGCTGTCTGAAGTTGTGCATTTGTGTTTGGTCACAGCTATCAACTGCTTTCTGATGCAAATCAGGTGAACATTGTCACTTCTGTCTGCACCTTTTGAGAACCCAGAGACCCCCATAGAGGTAGCCAGAAGGAAACACTAAAACACAGGGGTATATCTAAGCTCCAGCTTCAGGAGCTGAAATCCCCTGATTCAAACTATTAGGTATCTCCATTTGTTACCAATTCATAAAGCCTCATCTCACTTCTGAGTATAGCCACCTAACTGAAAGAGGAGCAGCTGGTGAGGGGTCCACCTTTTATACAATAGCTTTGTTAGAGCACTTGCCCAGGTAATAAGAAAGCTGTATCTTCTCTCCATCATGATGAGATTTGAACCCATATATCCCACTTGAGAGGAGAGCACCTTAACTATTAGGCTTTAGAAAAGGCTAGGTGAGGACACTCTCTGTCCTTCCCATGGAAGCCAGGCCCCTGGCCAGATATTCATTGGACTGGCAGGCAAACAAGCAAGAGTATGCCTGCTTCTGTAGCCTAGTGGCATACTGGTCCCTGTTATCAGATCAGAGTATGTGTTCAATATTAAAACAATAGAAATAGTCCTGGCAGCAAAGAATGTAACTCAGGACTACTTCATACCAAGGGAATGCTGGATCTGAAGCCAAATGGGTTTGAAAAGCTTGCGATAATTCAGAGTTTTCATTTCAAAATGTTTCAAGCACCATTTAACAAGGTGATCCAGTAATAATTTTCCTTATCAATTTAACTCAGTAATATTGATACTTCACTTTGAGTTGGTTTTCACCATCTATAATCCATTATCCTACCTGGGCTAGATGGCCATTGAGTACTGAGTTATAAGTTTATAGGAGAAAAAGTTAATTGTCCTTAAAAGGAACAATCTCTCTCTCTCTTTCTCTCTCTCCTTTTCCTAGACAAATTGCATATTTTAAAATCTGTTGTGAATCATATACACTGCAATTCCCAGTGCTTAATTGAGACCAACCCTTAAAGCATGTAGATAGCTCATATATGGTCTGTATTGCTCATATATGAATCATATAGGGGTCTGAGGACACTGACAGAAATAAATTAATAATAGTCTATAAGAAAACAACATTAATCTTAGTTATAATAAAAACCAAAACTGAGTGGAACAAACATTCACCTCTTGAGAGAACAAATGGACTTACAAATTGCAACTAAAATTAAAATGTATCTTATGGATCTTTGTAGCTTGAATATTTACAGTGATCTTTATGAAAACCCACTTTTCCATACATATCATAAATGTAAACAGATGTGCTGCATGCAGCAGAGTTTTTTCCTGAATGAGACTGAGCAACTCTATCTAGCCTTTATGGAACTACAAAATCACATCAAGAATTAAATAGACTGGGGGCGCATCTACACAAGATGTTGACTGTGCAGTAGCCTAATAATACTGTGTAGTAGTGTTTCACAGCATGGACAGTACTAATACACTACTGCATAATATTATTAGGCTACTGCGCAGTAGCATCACTTAAAAGACGTTCACCAGCACTACTGCACAGGATTTCCAGATACTCTGTATTTATTTAGTACTTGCTAATACAAGTACTAAATAAATGCACAGTACCCACTGTGCAGTAGCGTCTTGTGTAGACATGCCCTAGATGTTGCAAATGTACTTCCATTATTTTATGTCTGTCCGGGAAGATTGAAGTCAATAAGATATTCTTTCTTATGAAGAAGGTTTTTCATCATAGTTATCTCTTCATAGAAAAGGAAACTCAAAATACTTGAAGGGTCTTAAATGTACATTCTGTTGAATAGCAGTGAACCATTGATGGCAATGTTTTTGCATTGCAGACTCCGTTTCCTGGCAAAGGTAGGATAAATATATAAAGTTAAATATAGCAACTGCAGTATGGATAGAAGGAAAAACTGAGCAAATTTCAGAGTTCCTGAAGAGTTTGCTGTTTTCTGTATGAGCAACGGTCATATTCAAGCATAATAAACTTCAGTCATTTTTCTTTAAAAGTAAAAATACTGAAAGATGCTGTTTTATTGTTTGTTTACATGCATTCAATTACTTATTTTTTGAGTGTGAAGTAAACCGTTTCCCCTTGCTAAAGTTGGTTGGGAAAGGGAAATAGTATGAATGAAAAAGCAATGGAAACATAGTAGTAGTAGTAACAAAATGCCTACTAATTTGGCTTGTATTTTTCATTTTAGGAAAAGCCGCTGACCAAATCTCTGCAACGAGGAGAAGATCCCCAGTTTGATCAAGTAAGTAATGTTTTGAATAATGTTTATTCCTTGTGCTTGCTGTTTCTTAGAACCAAAATTGACCATTATGTCTTCATAATATTATAATGCTATGTCATTTGGGGAATCAAAGCCCTTCATTTAACTTGAGGTAATAGACCTCAGAATTCTTTATCTATGTATCAGTTTGCCTGAGGAGTTAGGAAGCACTTTGTTTTTTCCAAAATCATCAGAACCTCTTTTTTTAAGTACATTGGATAGCCATATATTATTTCCTCTGAATTATTTTGTACTCTGAGAAACAAACTTTGTCTTTTGGGAATATACCAGATTGAGAGTTCTGTTTCAATATTAGAACATGGATATAAGAGTTATTTCCCAGTGGTAGTCCCCAGTTCCTATTTTATCAGGACAAATGAGGACATTGCTCTAAAATTAAACATTTAACAATCCCTGGACATGTCTACATGAGACACTTTATTACTCAGCAGACTGAGTTGCTGCACAGTAAAGCATCACCATCTACATGTATGTGGCAGTTAGGGTGCAGTAGACTAATTTGCTGTGCTACCAAATAGTCCAACAGATATAAGTGGTATCTGGCAGTGTAGTAAATTACTGTGCTTACCTTAAATGTACATGTAGACAGTGATGTTGGGATTAGTTTACTCCAGCTCAAATTGATCCTGACTATATTCAATTGCATTAATTACACATGTAGACATGTCCCCAGTCTCTGTAGTTAATTATGTTACACTTTTTCATCACTGAGGTTATAATCATACAAAACTTATGTACATACTTACCATTATGTATTATGAGTATTATGTATTATTATATTTATCTCATTAACTTTAAAGTTAAGCACGTGAATGTGTTGTCATGATTAGATCAAAAATAGGAAAGGAAAAATTTTAGAATACCTGTAATAATTTTATATATCGGATCATATTTTTGCTGCTTATATCGGAAGTAAATGCTGCTGCCAATAATCGGTTTCTTTAACAACAACAAAAAAAATAAATTTTGACACACAGTTATACAATTTGAACTGCACCTCTTCTTTCATGGATATATAAATAGAGTTGGGAACAAAGTATATAGTTGCCTGAGATTTCCTCTTACAAGACAAACGTTTCAGTTGTTTATAACCTTTCTGAACTTAAAATATCTAGGATGAACATTTCCATGCTGGGAGTTTATCTTGGGCTGAATTATTTTGAATAGTTTTAACACTGAAGCTTCATATTGGTTTGCCCGTGTTAAAAAATGTTGCAATCATTTTGAAAAGCTCCAAAGTCCTGTGCTTTGAAGTAAAGACTTAGAGTTTGGCAGGGCAGTTCGTTTAGCTAAAAGGGTGTGCCTCTGGGCTACACTCATGAAAATCTGTGCAAATTATAATTCACTTCATGATTTAAGAAATTGTCATTCACACATATTTAGTAAAACCTGTTCATGTTCAGAATCTCTGAAGATTTTTATTAGTAGGCATTCTGCAACTAGTAGGTTGTAAAGGTGCTCTGCAAAACTGTATAAATGGGCATTTAGCTTTTGCATCCATTTGATGTTTCATAGAGAAGTAAGGCTGGAAGGGACCTCAAGAAATCATCAGTCCAACCAGGAATCAAACTTGCAAGCTTGGTGGTATTAACCCATGTTCTAACCAATTGACCTAAAGGGCTGCATTTTATTATTAAAATGTATATCTTATGTATCCTGAAATAATTTAGGGTGATTGGAGCCAAGATTATGAGGGGAAGGGATTCAAAACAGACTCTTTCAATTTGGTGTTTGTTTATTTTTTTTAAATTAATTCCAACATGTAATGTACATTTGGGAGAAAGAAACAGCTGACCAGGAGCAAATTGCTCCTGGTAAGCCCAGGCAGCATGGGCTGGGGAAACTGTACCCTCCCCTTGGCAGTTGCCTCCCAACCCTGTGCCCCAATTGGCCGATTAGGAGAACTCCTCCTGTCCCCTGGATCCCAGATCTGACCTCAGTGCCCCCTGCCAGCCCAGGACTGGCACTCAGGGGAGTCTGAAGTTCCCCTTGGCTGCTGTAGGGGGCAGATCAGGGCAGGAATAGTCCTGCACTAAACTGTTCCTGTCGGGAGAAAATTTGCTCCTGTCGGGCACACATGTAGACATGCTTTTGGGAAAAGCTTCCTACACCTTATTTTAGTGTGCAATAAACTTACAGTGCATTAATAGCATATGTAGATGCACCAAGTATAAGCAAAATGCAAAATTACAAACAGGAAAAATCAAAATAAAAAGCCTTCTTGCCAAAGATCTCCAAAAGTGGATAATAATTCAGAATGCCTGACCTACTGGGTGCCAAGCATGAAACATTTCAAACAGGCCTGATTTTCAGAGAGTGGGAACTTCACACTTTCTCAAAATCAATCAGTCTCTCTGAGGTTGGGTATCCAGAATTGGGGCAGCCAGAATAACCGATCACTTGAAAAAACATTCTTGGCCTGGTTGCTTCTATAGATACTGTAAAGAAGCAAAAAAGAGCATGCCTAAAGAATCCTTCACCAGTAACCTTTAAAAGACAGCTCACAAAAGTGTTATAATTGTCAGAATATGCCCATAGGACCCAAGAAAATTCATAGTGATTTGAAACATGGAAAACCCTTGTTCAGGTCACCCAAACTTCCTTAACTCTACTTCAGTACAGCTTTATGAGAAAATTCAGGGGCCACGTCTAAACAAGACACTACTGTGCAGTCATTACTGCACATTTACCTAGCACTTGTATAAACAAGTACCGAATGAATGCACAGTAACCTAAGTTACCATGCACCAGCGCTGATGAACACCTTTTTTGTGATGCTGCTGTGCCATAGCCTAATAGTACTGCGCAATAGCGTCATGTCGCAGTTTTTGCAACATGATGCTACTATGCAGTAGTATTGGGCTGCTGCGCAGCCAGCGTTTCATGTATACGTGGCCACGTAGTCTTAACTAATCTTTGCGGTCCTGACAAACAGGTGCCTCTCATCAGTGGCCACAAGAACTAAGTTGCCTATACAGCCTGCATTTTTGGTTTATTTATGTAAAGTTAAAAAGATATGTTTTTGAAGTTCCTGAGGAGGCAACTGTAGTAAAGTAGCTATTGAAGAGCATGGAGGCTACCATCCCTGCAATTCCCTGCAAATTCCTGCAATTTTCATCTGAATCAGGCAAGAAATGACAAAGTTATACGCATTTTCATGATTCCCCCTTATAGCCTATGGGCGAGATGTCGAAACACATTAAAACAGCGAAAGTTTCAACAAAACAAAATGAAACAGTGCTTTGAAACAGCAAAATAAAGTACTGTCCCTTTGAAACACTGAAACGGAACTCGAAATAGTTTCATAGTTTCTAGGGTCAGAAGGGACATGAACAGATCATCAAGTCTGACCCCCTGCCCTGGGCAGGAACAAGTGCTGGGATCATAATACCCCAGCTAGATATCTGTCCACCCTCCTCTTGAAGACCCCCAAGGTAGAGGAGAGCACTCCCTCCCTTGGGAGCCCATTCCAGAGCCTGGCAGCCCTAACCATAAAGTAATGCCTCCTGGTATCAAGCCTGAACCTACTCTCAATCAATCTGTGGTCATTATTCCTTGTTATCCCATGTGGTGCCCGGGGAAACAGAGCCTCACCTATTTTCCGCTGGTCACCTATTTTCTGCTGGAAATGAAACAGTGCTGTTTTGTACAGCCCTACACAATAAAGGAAGGCTGAGAAGTTAATGCTTATAGGGCCAGAGCAGCAGCTAGGGGCTCCTAATCATAGATGTGTGTATAAAGCTGTGGAAAAAAATAGCTGTTGAGATGAAGTCAAGGGTGACAGGTTCAAAACTGAACTTGCAATAGGTGAAAAAAAATGTTCCTTTGTTTAGAATGTCTTCCGGGAACTAAAGGAGCTATCAGCACTCCAGAAGTAGTGACAGAATAGTTCCCTAGCAACAAAATTCAGGATGCTGAGCTTGTGTCTGATAGCACAACTGTGGCCACAAACTGAACCTAGTAACTCTGATTTTAATTTAAATATATATTTCCACTTTTCAAATTAATAGAATTTTCATGTGAAAATATTGTTTAAAACTGAACACAATGAAGATAACATGAGTTCCATGCAATTATAAAGCTACTGTTTGTTTCTAATTTTACATCTTTCTCCTTTTTATGTGAAGGGATTAATTTCTTTTTTTTTAATGGCCTTTATAGAAACAGGATGATGCGTCTCAAAGGCATAACCGTCAATTATAGTTTTTAATTGCTGTGATAAATTATAAGAACATAATGTAGCCTATTACCTTCACCTCCAATCTATAGCACGGAAAAAAAAATGTAGTTAGGTTTCTCTTGCTTCTGTTGAACCCTATGGGAGTACAGCCTTTAAAATGTAAGGGGGGAGGATTTACAGTTACATTATTACTACAGACATTTAGTTTCTCTAAAACCAGCCCAGTTTTCATGCTTTATAATAGATAAAATGCAAAAAGCCATTAAAGGAAAAACATTCTTATATAGCTACAAGTATCCTAAATATATGTAAGAAGCTAATATATGACATATTCTAAACCTAATCCTGTTGGTATAAAATGCAGAATATTTCCAGATTTCAAAACTATTTTGCATTTACATTATCATGTCATGACTTAAAGCAGAATTCAGCTGACAGTTTACAAGTTAAAATAATCATTCAGAAAACTTTGTATTATTAAAATAGCAATAACATGTATGAAAAATGGTACGAGAGAAAACAAAAAATAAGATTTAAATTAGAAAATATTGATAATATATTTGAAAGCTGATTTAACAGAGAATACAGTTGCTGTCAAAGTGCATAGAAATTTACCACTTTTAGGTAAATAAAACATTCAGTCATTGTTGATATACTGGCAGTACATAATTTTTTTATATTTGCATTTTGATAGTATAATAAGACTTTTATGAAAATTATATGTTGTAGCAAACTGTCTAAAGCAAAGTTTTATTCAGTTTATTTTTACAAATTATGCCAA